GGAGCTGGTCACGTTGTGAGTTCGTAATATACCTGTAGATGATGAAGAAAGCAAGTGAATATATGAAAGACCATATATTTGAACTGCGGAGGAAGATATGAAGACATCAGTGGTCGTCGCAGTTACGCTAAACTGCGATGATCAATGATGATGTCTTCACTCGTTTGTTCTCTTCGAAATAAATTATTAAAACAAGACCCCATCAAGCTGGTTAGAAAAACAAAATCTGTCAACAAGGAGTCATCAGTGCACGTGAACTACGGTGTGGCACTAAATTTTTGCCACGTTTGAAATTTTTGCGATTCTGGGGGTTTCTTCCACGATACGCAAAAAAAGGTTCCCGCAAAAATAAAAGCATGCTGTAATTGTGATAAAATGTCACTGATCACTGGATTACTGTGTTTTACATCTCTACATGTTGTTCACTCGCGTGAAAATGTTTCAATTTCAATTAAACGCGACTTCCCGAAAATCCCAGAAATTAATACCCAGCAAGAAAACCCAGTCCTTTTACAATCACAAAAATTAGTTCCTGGTTTACAATTGTAAATATTAGTTCCTGGTTCTGTAAAATACAAACACTCGTCGATTCTCATGCGCAAAAATTAAACTTCCTCAAAAATTTAGTGCCACACGGTATCATAAGAGTCCGAATCCACGCTCCGTCTTATGCCTTTTCTTAAAAAATGAAGAATCCTTTGCTGTATTTTCTTAAGAAACTGTTAAAAACCGGCCTTACAAAAAGCCCAAGAAGAGAGTTGATTTAAACGCGTCTGCATGTATTACGATTTTGCCATTACGTGACTCACGATCACGGTGAATGTTTGTGTTTCCGCAGCTGAGATTAAAACTTGAAGATATTTCTGATCTAACTCAAATAACAAAAGCAAATCGGTGTAAACTGATGAACTTTAGCTCGTGGGAGAGAAGGTCAACCACGTGTGCAAGGCCAAGGTAATGCCGGGATTTTAAGAAGGAATCCACCAGAAGTTCGAGTAACTAGTGGACAAAAACTTTGTTTATATCATATTGCAAACTTCTGTGCGACTGTTTTATATATATATCTTCTCAAAAAAGAAATCATTTCTAACAACAAGAAACGTCGAAAACATGTTTTGAACTTCGTATGAAACACTTGAAAAAATGATGAAATTTTACCTGTGTTTGTACAATTTCTCTGAACTTTGAAATGTATTTTCTCGAGTTCCCATTGGAAATTGTTTTCCGTGTTATTTCAAGCAACTACCCTATCTTCAGCTTTAAGAAAATGTTAAAAAGGACTGTAAAATACCTAAAATTATTCTCCAGGTTTTTGTCCACTGAAAATTGAAATTGCTTGATTTCCTATCGGATTTCTTCTTAACTTCTCTTCCGTTCCCTTGTCTTCCCTTTTGCTTTTTACTCTCTTTTCTTCTCCTTCAGTCTCACCTTTTCTTCGCGGAGATCGTTTCTTCGCGGAGACCTATTCGCCGGAGATCTATCCGCCGTAGGAAGAAGAGATAGTTTCTCAGGTTAAATACTCCCGGACTGAACGTTTTTAAGTCTTGATGACTGAACGCGACAAATCGTGCATGTGGATCTGTTTTACGTTTACGGTCACGTTTTTACCGCTTATGTGCAGTGATTGACAAACAAGATCTATATATAGCAACTCAATGAACACACTGAAGACAAGGTACAAGTTTATTTTTTGTGTGTGAGAGTCAAATCAAAACATCTCTCTCAAATCAAAACTATCGTGTTGTCATAATTAAGCACTCGATATTAGCACCTCTGGCCAACTTAAACCGGTGGCTATTTTTTATGCAAGCATGGGGGGCGGGGTGGGGGAGGCGTAAGGGGTTTTGATTTTCTCGCTTCCCATTACCTTTAACTCGGGTTCCCCTTCCCCGCTAGGTCCCTCCAACTTTCTTAGTGGTTCATCCCTCTTGGTCCGTTATTCTATTGCAAAATACTGCAGAATATTTCCCTCTATTTCTTCGCATTCCTATAGGAATCCCCCCTTCTCACCCTCTCCTCTCTCGCCTCCAATTAAGTACCCGCCCCCTTCACTCCCACCTTTCCGCCCCCCTGTCACACCAACCATTTTAGAACATTCCAGCAGTCATTATTGCACTG